TGCAGGCACCGTGCCAGGCTGTGGGGTGCCCCTTGGCCTTGGCTGGAGGTCGCTGCCAGGCATGTCCATCCCATGCCCTGAGGCTCTGCCCTCTCCTGCGTCCCTGGCACCGCTGCCTGGGGACAGCCTGTGCTGGAGTGGAGGGGACAGGCTGGTGTTTCTGTGGGCACGATGGGGCAGACCAGGGGTCCCTGCCCGTCCCTAGGGGTCCTGCTGATGGGGTGCCTCTTCCTTGGCCTTGGCTGGAGGTCGCTGCCAGGCATGTCCATCCCATGCCCTGAGGCTCTGCCCTCTCCTGCGTCCCTGGCACCGCTGCCTGGGGACAGCCTGTGCTGGAGTGGAGGGGACAGGCTGGTGTTTCTGTGGGCACGATGGGGCAGACCAGGGGTCCCTGCCCGTCCCTAGGGGTCCTGCTGATGGGGTGCCTCTTCTGGCCCCCCTGGAGAGCTGGAGATGGGCTCAGGAGATGAACCCTGCTAACATCCCTCACACCCTGCCCAGGCAGCACCTCAGCCTCTGCTCTCAGCCCCTCCAGGTGACTCTCCCAGGGGGGACGGGGCAGCGCAGAGCGGGCCAGGTCGCCCCTAACCCGGCGCGGTGTCCCGGCAGAGGCTGAGCTGTAGCATGCAGGCGGAGGAGGGCACGGACTGGCTGCTGGAGCGGCTCACCGAGCTGCAGCTGCAGCAGTACTTCCTGCGCATCCGGGACGAGCTCAATGTCACCCGCCTCTCCCACTTCGAGTACGTCAAAAATGAGGATTTGGAGAAGATCGGCATGGGACGGCCCGGTGCGTACGTCCTCCCCAAACCTCCCCCCATACCCTGGCTGGCTGCGCAGGATCTTTTGGGGAGCGCAGGGGAGCGTGTGGTCCATGGGGCTGGAGGGGACTCCCACCCCGTGCTGGGTTGGTGACAGTCCCTGTGTCCTGCAGGCCAGCGGCGGCTGTGGGAGGCGGTGAAGCGGAGGAAAGCCATGTGCAAGAGGAAATCCTGGATGAGCAAGGTAGAGATGGGAGAGGGGCAGGTGTGGGAGGGGAACTGAGGCAGACAGGAGG